AAGAATAGGGTCTGCGTGTGGCGAGGACACGGGACAGAAACCGTTGGAATGTTTACTGTCGCGTGTCGCCACGAATATTTCTTTTAAGGAGAGTTATAGGATTACTCCATACCTTTGTTAGACAAAGCTTTCATCCCGTGACCGCGGCTACGTTCGGCGACTGACTGTCGCCTCGAGTCCAAGCTCATTATCACAACTCTCGAACAATTACAATCGGATTGAATAACTACAATTGTTCAATTACAGCTATAGTAGACTCTAGGTTACAATGTTGCGGGATTATCCAAAATTCCAAAGGCTCCGGTGTTCTTTCATCTCCGACATATATATTATATGTATATACACAGTATAGTATATTCTGTACAATATAAATAGTTGAAGTTATCGATATGATACGACTTTTATTAACAATTAATAAGACGTGTCGACTTTTATTAATCAAGTTACGGGGTCTCTACTAACATTTTCTGTATATTTTGTTGCCTTCCCCGCTTTTATATCAGGTTCGTTGGCACGTCTCGATCCAAAGAATATCTTTTCAATCCAGTGGCTCTCTGATTTTGAGTTAATCTGCGCTGTTTTTTCCAACGACTCCCAAACTTCGCATGTTATTCGTTCACGCAGTTTCCTTAACTTTGCACCAAATTCGTCCACAAGTGACTTTCGCGCTAGCCGAAATACCGCATCGGTTAGTAAAGATGCGTCTCCAATAACGAACAGTCATCGAATTGTTCGCGAATATGTCACAGCCGCCGGTTGATCTTTTCAAACATGCAATGTAACAAGTTGACGCACAATTCTCAAGCACCAAGAAATACAGTGGTGTCCCTCCGGATCTCTCTAAACAGATTTCCGAGCGTCGTGGGTACATCAAATGGGTTTCCAAATTAGAGTTCATAGCTTTTAGTTAAAATTACGTATACTCTAGCTTGTACAAGCAAACTATGTTTCCGTTTGCTATCTGAAATATAAAAAATAGGCAAACATTGTGCGAAGATTATATACTAGAATTTTATATGTTTTCTGCATCCGAACACATAGAGAATAATGATAAAAATGAAATGTAATACGTACAATTTTACCGCCATTTCAAACCCCGTATTAAATTTTCCATTTACTCAACTACCATTTTTTCTAAAATCTGTCTAAACTCTGTAGATAGAAGATTAGATTAGAAAATGATTAGTTCCAAATGTAATACGTAGCTTGTGAAATCGTTTCATTTTCGGCTTTAATTATTATAAAGAAAGAAATTTTATTCTCTTCTTTCATCATGATAATGCTCGATCAGACACAGCGCAAACGTTAAACAAAATAATTGGAATTAAGTTTTCGGTAACTACGTATTGGAACAGTGTACAACATAGAAAAGTATATGTATAGTATACTACATATATCAGCACACACATATATATAGCAGATTGAACGTCAGTTTGGGATCAATAGATGCAATATGTCACGAATTCTCGTACGTTAGAAATATTGCATGTTATGGCATGGTCGAAACTTCGATTGGCGAACTTTGCCTATAGTACATGATGCGCTGTTCAAGGTCAGTGAGATCCAATCTTGAGTTGCTTAAAAAAACGTTATTCGATTGATAACAGAATCGCTCACAATTTTTTATTTTATAAAAGTATTCTACTAAAGATAGAAAATATTTGTGAAAAGTGCTATTGATAATTGACTTAGAAGCCTGCTCTATTCTCGTAAAGAAATAGTCAGTAAGCTTCACAGAGTTTGCGACTCTACACGCTAAAATATTTTTAAATATATAAATATTTTCAAAAATAGTAATTAAAAATAGTAGATGTCCGTACCATAAACTCCAACGATTGAACTGAGATAACGTATATTAAAATTCCTCTTCGACAAAAAATATATGTTTGATTACGACGTATCGTAAATTCTTCGTTTGATAATCTCTGTTTAAATATACTTGACAAGTTTTCAGACTCCACTTTCTCGGAAACGAAACGTCATATGAAAATATGTTATGTTACATTTTCGACTTATCTTTTCATGTAGAATCACTTCCTACCCGCTTGTACCTCCCATCAGGCCTCACACATAGGCCTGCATATCTTACACAAACTTACTTCCAAATAAAATAACTTAAAATAATCAGGCAGACTTCTTACAATTAATTATTTTTCTATGGTTCTATTCTATTTGGAAAAATTATACACTTAAGTAGCATTAGGTTTGTTAGTCTCTTGACTTAGGTTGATCTTTAATTCTTCGCCACTCAAGGAGTTAGCGTCCTGATCGATTGTCCTCGAGATTTTCGATTGGTCTGCTTTCTAATCAACACGTCTAATCAGTTCTATCGATCAGCATTGATCAATATCTTTTCGAGATCTCGGGACTCTTTCTGAAGTAGCTGTTGAACCGTTAGCAATAACTACACAGTTGTAAGCTGGGTTTATGATGCGGACGTGATTTCACTGAGTTTAAGATTTCTAAGTAGTCCAGTCCTTGTATTTGCATTTCGTATGGCAATCGTATATTTAAAAATAATAATACAGTACACTCCAATATCTGGAATAAATATTTGCCATGCAACAGCGAAAATGAGGTAATTTTGACAAATCATTCGAATGACTCTTCTGACCGCTGCCGAAAGTAGCTCCTACACCTTGACAATCGATTGTTGACTCTTTATCCAATTATTCTTTGGATCTCTGTGCATTGGTGTTCAACATTCTATATGTCTAACCCCTGACATATAATATTTCTATATAGCTATTTTGGTAATAAAAAAATTTCTAAATTCAAAAACAGGCATCAGTATTGTTTTTTAATTTTCCAGGTGGCTTTAAATAAAATTATATAAATCACATTAGTGGCAAATATTATCATTACGTCAATTACTATCGATACCATGTTACGCGGCATAGATTGTACGAATATTTTCAAATTGTATATTATATCTACAACTGTCTTTGCGAAGGCAATCAGCAAATTTGGTCAATATTTACTAATCGAATATTTTACTAATCGAATTCTACTTTTTGTGTGGATTTAAGAAAGATTACAAGTTAATTCGAACCTTTCTTCGCTGATATTCATAAAGTATACTAACCATGTTTATTTAATTGCAGCAACGAACCGGTAGTATCTAATTTAATAATTTAAATCAATCGATAAGCAAATTAACATAAATTTCTATTTCATAAAATATGGCAGTGTTACCAAAGCAAAAAGTATACATAAGTGGTTCGTTTTTTCCGTTTTCATTTAAAATGAAATATCATTAAAATTGATATTTCGGTGTTTCTGTTACGCTATGGAAGTTCTTCCATCGTGTACTTCTATAACGGCACCGAATCCCAATCGATGGATCACCGATGGTTTTAAAATAATAAATACTACGTCTTGTAGTTTACCTACATGACGTGATTCGATCTGATTCCACGCGATTTAATATATCTTCTATACCTTTATAATGATTCTAGCAAGCAATTAACATTATTTTGTTTTTTGTACCCAAGAATTTTTTTTTATTATTATTTAATTTGTATTTTACAATTTGTCCAGCTGTACATTTGGTAAATTTTTCTAACTTAATTGATAAATAACATATGGGTGGCTACCCCCAGCGGGATACCATCTTCGAGTTTGACTATTTTATTTCTTTAGCGAGGTCAGTGGGGTGTTTTCTTTTTAGTCTTCTTTCTATGAAAGTTTCGCTTGCTTCAGCAGCCACTTGGTTTAAAAGTATTGCCGTTCTTACCCAAGATTGCGTGATGGTCATGCATATTATAGATGTCTAGTCAAGTGTATCTCTTTAGTTATTTCAGAGCTTTATACAGTACATTAATAGCAAGGATTGTCGTTAGAAGCAAGGAAGTAAAGATTGATGCTGGAACT